CCTCCGCAAAGCCCACTCCAGCACACCCTCCTGCGTTGGTGGGTGGCCCTCCAGATTGGAAGGCAGGGCCCTTGCCTTTCCACCTTCCAGGGCCTACCGGCTTAGCCACCCCCTTTTCCTAAGAAGTGTCAGTTCTAGAACATGCATTCCTGGAGTGTGGCCTGGTCCACGGCCACAGCAGACGAGAAGCATCACGGATGCCAACCTGTTCGTTACTCCCGTGACTTTGTACTGATAGTTCTCCAAAGAAACCCAGATTTGTCAGCTCTCCAAACGGACAGTTAACCCACTGAAACCAGGATAAATCACTCACTGATTCAGACATTTATTTTAGGCTGAAGAACATTTGTCAAATATAATTCTCTTACGTAGACTAGGTATGCAAGAAATGACTGATTTTTTTTTTCTTGACTAGGAGAGGAGACAGATGAATTAGGGCAAGTTTAAATACTAGGGAACAGTGAACAGGGAAAAAAGACCAGGATGGTAGAGTTACCGAAGATGAAATGTATTCTTTAATTTCTAAAAAGGAAAGAAAAGAAAAAGAAAACAAGGACATTAATTTCTTAGACAGTTTCATAGCAAGTAGAGAACTTCAGCATCTCTTCTGCCCTAAGTTATTTCAGGGAAGCTCCAGTGAACTGCCAGCACAGGTCCATGTGGACTTGGCTCTGCTGAGCCAGCAGAGAGGGCAGAGACACAGAGATGAAGGCATGAGCCTCTCCATCTCCGGGTACGGGCAGGGCTGCATGCCCAGTTAAACTCTTCTCTTCAGACCAGCCCACCCGGTGTTTAAGTTTTCCAGTGAATGGACTTTCTGATTGAACTGAACGAATCACCTTGGTTTTTCTTTTAATTTTTGTGTTTTGTGCTCACTGTTTATAAAGCTATCACACACAGGAGGCAGACTAAACACCCTAATAGAATCAAACAGAAAGTTCACAGCTGTGACCTAAAACCTTCCTATGAACCTTGGCTCTGTGCACCCGTTTATGGGAGATGACAGGAGCACCCAGCACAAGTCTGCCGCCGTTCCTGCTGCCAGGCTCCCGCAGAGCTCACACAGCCCGGTCCCCACAGCCAGGCCGGAGCCCGCCCCTGCCCACGTCTGACAAACCACAAGATCAGACCCACGTGAGCCTTTCATCTGTTCCTTCTTGGTGAAAGAGGGAGGCAGGATGAAGAAACACAAACAAAGGATAAGACAGAGAAGCGGAGATTAAGAAGTCAGGAAGAAGCTTTACGTAAGGCTGAAATGCCCTCAGGGAAAAGCCAAATGCTGCATCAAACACGTGGTAGCCACAGACTCAGCAACAAAAGAGCAGCCATTCTGAGGCAGGAGAGGTTAGCACATCAGACACTGGAAATGATTCGAGGCACTCCGCCAAACCCATCCCAGAGAATCCGGTTCCTCCCTAAGCCACCACGTGCCCTCCCACAGCGAACGGGGAACTGCCGCAGTTAGGCAGCAGTCGGGGCTCCACCGCAGCCACATGGCCCACACTGGGGGCCCAGCGTGGAGGGAGCCGGCACGGCTGTCCCCTAGGAAAATCACTGCGCATCTGCTCTCCCAGCACCCCAACTGCAGTTGAAGTCACCAAGACCCATTTCCAAGTAATGAATTTAATAGCATCTGCAACAGAAACCACAGCTGAATGGAGGGATATTTTCTTGCATTTTTGTTTTTCCCAGAAATTTAACTCATTCCTACTTATGCTTGAGCTTCAAGCACACAGCTAAGAATTCTTCTCTAAATATGAAACATGTGTTTTACCTCAAAAAGATGATCTCTTGTGAATCTAGGTTCTCCCTGCAGGGAAGGAAGATGAGGCAGCTGACTGGTTGGAAACCCTGCCCGCCTCTCCTGTGGACGGCCCTTCCCAGCCCCACCACTTGGGGGTCACCACTTCCTCTGCCCTGAAGCCAGCATCCTGACTCCTGGTGTCTGCTCTTCCCAGCATAGACACCACAGGGCTCACTAAGACTTGCTGATGACAGTCAGGACCAACCACACAGACACGCTCTCACGGGGAAGGACGGCAACCTCAACAGCCGCTGAGGAATCTTCTACTCACAGACGCTGGTACATTCATCCTGACCTCTCCCATCCCATCACCGCTCTTGGGGAAAGGGCACAGCACACAGGGTAGTACAGACTGGTTGTTTAAAATTGAAAGGGCTCTCTAACTACACGGCCGCCACCAAAATTAACAGGTGAAAATTCTTACATTACCCATGAAAACGCTGTGTTCCTGCTTTAGCCTCAACACAACCGTAAGACACATAACAGCACACTTCAGCCAGACACCTGCGCAGGAGGGTGGGTAAGGCGGTCCCAGATCCACCAGCCTGAGGCCTCAGCACTCTAATCTGCTCTCAGGAGAACAGGAAGTTCGCCTTTACAGGATGAGAGTTTCTCAAGCCCCAAAGCAGGTGAGATCTGCAGTGTTCTGGAGTCAATAAGCATATCAAAAGAATCGATTAGTAACCTGCAAAATGTGCTAGTTGCAGCTAGAAAGCAGCATTTCTGTGTGTCATTACTAAAAGTGACTAACTTAGATGAGGAGGAATAATTGATAAATTATGTATATTTAAAATATCCCATAGCAAACACGAAGACTTTTTTCCCCAAAAGGCACAGGGCTGCGTATGCTTAAGGAGCGTATGCTTATGAAGACACATAAAATCAGAATTTTTTAAAAACCGGTGAGAGAGACACTGTCTTTCCTGTATGCCCTGATGGAGGTGTGTGGGGCCACCAATGAAACGGTGTCTCCAAAAGGAAGCACGGGTCTGATGCAGCCTCCGGAGCTACGAACTGACCTACAGGAGGACTAGGGCAGGGAGCAAGCTGCTCACCACTGGGAAAACTGAGTCATGAGGACACAAACTGCAAAATCTCAACAAAGAAACAATTTAGTTTCTTGAACAAAAACCGCAAAGGAAAAAAAAAGATGAAGAGAAGCTGTGCTCTAAAGATGATACATCAAGCGCAATGCACGGCCTCCTCGGGTCCCGATTCATGAAGTGCCATAAAGAGCCTCCTTAGGTTCTCATCCACCAAGTGCCATGCATGGCTTCCTCAGGTCCAGATTCTCCAAGTGCCAGGCACGCCCTCCTCAGGTTTCGATTCTCCAGGTGCCATGCTAGGCCTCCTTAGATCCTCATTCTCCAAGTGCCAGGCACGGCCTCCTCAGGTCCTGATTCTCCAAGTACCATGGCTTCCTTAGCACCAAGTACCATGCATGGCCTCTTCAGGTCCTGATTCACCAAGTGCCACGCACACCCTCCCGATTCACCAAGTGCTATGTACTCCCTCCCGATGCACCAAGTGCTATGCATACCCTCCTGATTCACCAAGTGCCATGCATGGTCTCCTGATTCACCAAGTGCCACGCATGGTCTCCTGATTCACCTAGTGCCATGCATGGTCTCCTGAT